TAGATGAGCTTAAACCTCTCTTACCTAGAATGGGTGTGGTGTAGATGAGCTTAAACCTCTCTTACCTAGAATGGGGGTGTGGTTTAGATGAGCTTAAACCTCTCTTACCTAGAATGGGTGTGGTGTAGATGAGCTTAAACCTCTCTTACCTAGAATGGGTGTGGTTTAGATGAGCTTAAACCTCTCTTACCTAGAATGGATGTGATTTAGTTGAGCTTAACCCTCTCTTACCTAGAATGGGTGTGGTGCAGCCGAGCTTAACCCCCTTCTTACCTAGAATGGGTGTGATTTTGATGAGCTTAACCCTCTCTTACCTAGAATAGGTGTGGTTTAGATGAGCTTAACCCTCTCTTACCTAGAATGGGTGTGGTTTAGATGAGCTTAACCCTCTCTTATGTAGAATGGGTGTGGTGCAGCCGAACTTAACCCTCTCTTACCTAGAATGGGTGTGGTGTAGATGAGCTTAACCCCCTCTTACCTAGAATGGGTGTGGTTGTTTATGGAGTTGTTTATTTATAAACATGTAATGAAATGATGACAGCATGACACTGCTTCTCAATCTCAGTCTATGTTACAGTTCATAACATTGTCATCGATGACTTGATAGATGTCGTTATTCTGTAAACTTTCCTTATAAGATCTCAAATTTTGTAAATATTTTTCTACAAATAATAAACAGTTTAGGTATATACATCCAACCACTGTTGTAATTCTCTGCAGAAAACCTGTCATTCAGCCATCATTGTTGAGTAAAATTATTCATCAAATCCCATGTTGTTAGAAATCATAAAGATTTTGCGAAATTGCTTCTCTGTACTCCTGAGTTGTAATCCACTCTGTTGTTAGAATGTTGTAATAATGCATTTTATTTCCTTAGGCCAAACAAAAAGGTTATGATTATTGTCATTGTGCTGGTGTAAAACTAAGTGTTGCACATTGTTAAAATTATTGCAGGTGAGAAATATTCAGAAATATGGCAGCATTGGGGCTATAATACTTGACAATAATGAAGCCACCAGTAGTGACCTATCTCCAATATTTGCCATGTCTGGGGACGGTACCACAGATGTCAGTATTCCAGCTCTCTTTCTATTCTGGAAAGAAGGAAAAATTCTGCTTAATGCTGTCAAAGAACATGCTGGTGACCTTGAAGTTCTATTGTCAGATAGAGCTAAGTCAGTAGGTGAGTACAACCAGGTCGTCAGTGGCAATGTTTTTAAACAAGTTATTTGATTTTCATCTCCTCAAAAAAGATTCAAATGATTACACAACATAGTGAAACATACAATCACAAGAATGCAATAACAAGAATCACAAAAATAAAATAAAATACAGAACTCAAGAATTAACAACATAAGAAAAAAGACAAAATACAAATTTAAGTGTTGCTGTCTATGAAGGAAACTGTTTTTAATAATTTTGCCAGTAATATATAAATCAGTGTTTTTGCTTTCATTAAATTTTTTTTCATAAGAAATTTATATGCTTATTTGTTTATTCTAATAATATTTAGTCCTAGTCCTAAAATTGTTCTTTCCATTGCAAATTGAATATTTTTTTGTTTTGAATTCATTAGTTATTATTATTGTTTGGATTTTGGAAATGTTTTGCCTATATTTTGCGGTAGGTTTATCTGCTGAAAATGAGATTTTTCTGTGCTCCCTGTATTTAAGTTGTTTATTAACAGTGCAGCCTCTTTTGAAATTTATTTGACAGATTTGTGGCATGTTATTATTCAACTATGTTTGATTGCACATGAATTATTCAGCAGTTCATATGCTGATTTCAACCAAGCTTGCTATGAATATAACACAAGTTAGGTTGCTAGGAATCATTTTATCATAATTATTGTGTACCAAGTTGAATGGATATACAACTCCAGTCTAGTGAGTAGAATCTTATTTGCATAGTGATCACATTTATGGCTTATTTCTCAGAAATGCAAATCAATCAAACTTTATTTGAGTTATGGAGACATGCTTGACTGTTTGTGATCAAACATTACAACTATGGTACATCATGTCATTTTATCACTTTCTGTTTTGTTTACTATTGAACCAACAGAGGCATTTCTTGTTCAGTCTTTTTCAAACTTCAATATATTGTTAATCACTTTTGAATCTCGCCAAAGTTTAATTTTGGCATGCACCACATGTATATTTTTCAAGATATTGGTGAAAATGTCGCTTAAAGTGTCAATAAATGTTTATCTAATCATCTTTAAACATAGAAATCTTATTAATCAATACCAAATGTCAACCAAGTTCAAATTTGTTGTGAATATCATGTATCATTTTCAAAATATGGGTTAAAATTTGGCTATCATAAAACGCTATAAAATATGATATTAAGTGAAGAGATTTATAAGAACCAGATGTTAGTAATGTAATTCAGCCCTCTGCACTTTAAGATAATAATAACGCCTGAGTGCATACTCATTGGTATCCTCATAATAACCTTAATATTATATAGCTTTTCCTTCCAAGGAATGCCAAAATACAAAAAGTTCAGAACAGATTTAGCGAACTTCTTTGTATGGGGTCCGGTCAAATTCTGGGGGCTGCTATGTTTGTTATTATTATTAGAGGACTCATATGCGTGTAATCATTCCATATTTGGAATTTGCATTTTCTATTATGGTTGGATGAAAATACTCAGTGCATTACCGCAAAATTATGACACACTGTAACTTATGGCAGTAAGGTGACAGATGTATAATAATGGTGATTATAATGTATTAATCTTGCAGAAGAAATTCTGAAGCTAAGAGAAGATAAAAAGAGTTTACCAGAAAGCACTTCTGCTGAAAAGAAATCTGGATTTGATGCTCAGAAGACTCCTGGACCTGAGCTTCCAGATGAACTTGTTGATGCAATCCTACAGGAGGTTCAGAAAATGGCAGAGGGAAAAGGAATTGCGGAGTATTTAAAGCAGTTAGAGGAAACACAAAAAGATTTGAAATCAGTCGGAGTAGATGTGCAGCTACAGTTGCAATTTGGGGATCAGATTGACAGTGTAAAATCACCAAATGCAGCAGAATTGACCATTGAATGGACTAATAAAGATGACGCCAACAACCATCAAAAACTAGACCAAAAGATGCATCCGGGTGAAAACTCAAAAGTTTGTGAGAAACTAAACGAGGAGGACAAAACACAAGATGAATGTGTTTCCCTGCAGCAAAAGGGTGAACTAGAAATGTCTGAGGATCGGAAGGAAATTATTTCCCAATATGAAGGTTTGCTCCCAACAAATCCGCAATCACCAGGTCAGAGTAAACAGAATCCACAACCAAAGTCAACGACTGTGATACATGGACAGAAAACACCAGAACATATGAAAGCAACTCCAGAATTACCTTTGAAAGTACAGCATAGTGCTACTAAGGCACAGTGGTTGGAGCAGCAAGAACTCCATCAGCAACATGTGCTTCGTCATCAACAGCACTATGAACAATTACACAAATATGTGGTACATGAACAAGAACAGCAACTCCAGATGCAGCAACATATTGAGCTGCAAAAGCAGCAACATGAACAGCTTAAACAGCAACTGGAAACTAAGCAGAGTGTAGCAGAGCAAAGCATTGCAGAATCTGATGAAGCAAAAGATACACTTTGATGGTACTTGCCACCTTTAAGGTAGCGAGAAGGGAAATTTTCACTTTTTTCTTGATTTTCAAAATTGATAAAACGTTTACTTTAGACCTTGATACATCATCCCTGGTTTACAAAAGATCGAAATTGCGAAATAACGTCGCTCAATCAGTGTTTTAA